TTTGTCAGATACCAAGAATGGTCCTTTTGGAATATGGTCTGTTTTCTACCTCTCCACCTCAGCCTGCCCCTCTCTCAATGTTTCACACTCCATCCCACCCAGTCACAGTTCAGCAGGTGGGCAGAATGTGTCCACACAACTGGACTTCCTGTGCCATTTGGCTTGAGCGATGTGCTCACACGCCCTGGCATCAATCCCAAAAAGAGGTGGCTCTAGTGCCTTGGCTTTGTCACATCAGGGAACAGACTTCTGATTTCTATCTCAGGCCAAGCCTGGAACAATGTGAATTTTATTTTAGATCGCCCAGCAAATTCCTTTTAGAAGTCTGTCTCTATCACCTTAGCCCAAGTCTTGTTTTTATGTTCAACAGCAGCTGCACTGATGGGCTGCCAGCAGGCATGAGTGGGTCAGGGGAAGTATTGTTTAGTTGGGAGTTTTCTGTCAATCCAGACTTTTTAAAAGGGGGTGGGGGAGGGTATCAATTATATTGTAAAGTAGATCTCCTTGGGAAAAAGGATAGAAGCTTTAGTTCATTTAAATAATGGTTCAGCTTTGCTGACCCCATTTGAGACAAGTCTAGCTAAGACTATGAAAGATGGATCCCAATAAAATGATAAAATCCAAGAGCGGCATCTATCCCCAACCAAGTTTAGAGCCCTATAAAGAGAAACACAGGCACAGAAAACTCTGTGGCCTGTGCCACAGTCTAAATCCGATGATCATGATCAGTGTGACATCATCATTGGGTAGAGTATAAACACTTGGTCTTTTGGCAATCAATCAAGTAGGCCATCCAAAGCAAGGAAACAGCAGAGTCCCACAATCATTTGTTCCTTTCACAGACATAGGATGGCCCATGCCCAAACACTAAGCATCCACTTCGTTTATTCTAAGATTATTCAAATGGTCACACAGGACTCATTCAGGCACACAGTTTGGTTTCTAGGTAGCAGTTTATACAAGATGGGTTATATTTGCTCAAAAAAGTGATGAAATAGACTAACCACCTAAGAGCCACTATATCAGGATAGTGGGATATGGGCAGTTTTGTTCTTTTAATCAATTCCTTGGGTTTCCTTTTCACTGTAATGTAGACACATCATTTTTAAAGAATATAATTTAAAAGATAAAATTAATCTATAGCTTTCAAAAGATTTTAAAAGGAGAGATTATTGTACCTCAGAAACTTCTTGCATTCCTTAATAACTGCTTATAGAGCCTCAGTGTGTATAATTTATATCACTGACTAAAAAGTTCTAATTTTTGAAAACCGACCTGAGATGACAGCCCCTTTACTATTTAGGTGGCCCTCCCCTGGACCTTTCTTGGCTCCATTCATGTTTCTCCAGGCACACTGACCACAGCCATCCATCTGGGGCCACATTTTCAAGTCACAAAAATGGCAGTTTTATAACAAGGGAAAATAACATTTTATTGGCAGTACTCCTCCCCTTCCCACACTCCCTGCCCTTGAAGAGGGACCTCGTCTTTAGGAATCGCCTATAATTATCCTCAGACAGATATGAACCTTCACCTGAATCATATTTGCTGAGTCAGCAATAGGCATATAATTCCTTTTCTCCCTAAATGATTTTTACACATTTACACTGAAGTCTGTCACTTGAATACACCAAATCTCTCAAACAATAAAGTTCCTGGTAAGAAGAAAATTTCTTGTCCACTGCTATATCCCCAACACCTAGAATAGTACCAGACACATAGCAGGTGCTTAATAAATGGTGTTAAATGAGCAAATAGAAACTTGGTTTTCCACTTCCTTATATGCTCAACAGATAAAACAGCAGTTAAGTGCATTTCTTGAAGGATATCATAGGGAAATCTCCACCACCAGCAAAGTTTAAACATACTTTTTGTTAGGGATAAAGAAATATTTCTGCACTGGGGAGCAGGCTAACCCAAGTGACCTCTAAAGTTCCTTTCAACTCCTAGAATCTATAAACTGATGAACACCACAGCTTAAGAGAGTCGATCAGCTACATAAAGCCTGATTCTCAAGTAGAGTGAATTGCCATGTCTGTTTAAAATAAAGATAATAGCTGCCCCAGGACTTGGACGCAAAAATGCTAATTCATCCAAAATGCAGACACATCCCTTGGGGGTAAAATGTTCTTGCTAATCATCAGTTATACCAGGCAAACAGCAGATGTGCTTCAGGGTCTAATTAGGGCTAAACCCAAAACCCATCAGTGGGGAAATGGAGACGCTAGGGATCAAAATTAAAACTGAAATAAACAGTATCACACTAAATTGAAGCTTTTGTTTTGCAGTCAATAACAAATCCACCTAAACGTAACTGAATTTAGACTTGAGGTTTGAATGGTTTGTAACAGAATATATCCATTTCATAAGATAGAAAATAGTGCATTTGACATGTAAGCATTTTTGTCCACTAAAATGTCATATTTACCTGGGATATCACACTCAGATGTTCCCATTCAAGAATATTGAAAATTCAGGGTAAGTTATTCAGATTACATTTTGCTTCAGTCTGGCGGGGAGAGGTAGTTATCGGGAAAGGAGATATGCTCCTGTTGTCCTAAATAACTTTTTAAAAAATCTAATTGAAGAAATAACTAGGGAAACTCCATTCACACATAAATCAACTTTGGAGTGGTTCTTTTCCCTCAGCGCAGCCTTCCTTTCTTTTGGTGAAATCACAGACTAGATAAGGAAATGGGAGGGCCAGAGAACTCTTAACTTTAAAGATGCAGTGTAGATTCCATGGAGCTGTGTCTGAAGAATCTTCCCCACTCACTGACTTTGTTTTAAAGCCATAACTGCAGAGACCACACTTAAGACAGTAACCCAACGAACAAAGTGAAAGGCTTCAACAATTCTCTGTGAAATGTGATCATACATTTTCTGTAGACTTTCTAACTTTATAATCAATTCCTAATCACCCATACGTTAGGTTTCCAAAAGAAAAGTCTTCTATCTTTAGGTTATAATTTAATTCCAGTGACAACAGGGAGTGCGCAGAAAGAAGTCACTTCCTCTGTGCACATATACTTTTAAAAATCTCCTCTATTATCTGAAGAGGGAGGTGTAACATAAGAATTCTGTGGGATTAGGCTCACATATGGTTGGCCGACATGGTGTTGGATATGATTATGGCCACACAACTAAACCTTAAATCCACATACTGTTTCTATTTAACTGACATATATGAACTAATTTATAGAAAATGTGCAGCTAATTATTTCTTCCACCTCCTCCATCCCTCAAGAATGCACCAGCAATAATAGGTGTTACTGAAAAAGACATACACCCACACTGAATATTTGCATTCCTAAACGCTTACCAATTTCTCTAAAGCAGATATTGTTATTTTAGTTATCTGAATCTACGCCTTGCTAATAGGTATAATGCGGGCAGGGGGAAGAGTAATTTAACCAGATAAATTTGACCTCTATAGACCTCAATTTTCTCACCAAAAAATAAAACGACTAGCCGAGACTATGCAAATTTCCTCAGTAACAATAATCTACGTGTGACCACTAATGATCAAGAGCACAATTTATGTGCAAAAGAAGACCAGAATTCTTAAAAGAGCCATGTCATTAAATCGTAGAGTTGAAAAGGCCTAAAAGACAGTTATGATTCGACGTGACCACTGTTGTCTTCTGACTGCAGAAAACGTCTTTGAAAGCACCGCGGGCAGCCGAACCACCAAACCGAATTAGAATCCGCAAAGGGATCCATGAACTTCTCGCGAGGGGGTAGGATGCAAAAGGCGCGCGTATCTGGGGAGGAGTTAGGCGGGGAGAGGGGGAAGAGCCGGGAGCCTGAGAGCACAGCCTTGCGTTTCTGGGATTTCTGAGCTTCCAGTATCTCAGTAAGTCTTTCGTCCGTAACTACAAAATCTTCCGAGCCACCACCTGCAGCTGCACAGTTGTGGGAAAGGGAAGAAGAGAAAGGGAAGAGGTGATAGACGGGGAAGGACCTCGCCCGAGGCGCCCCCAAAGCCAGTAAGGCGAGAGTGGACTGTGAACATCGACAAGAAAAGGGGAAAGGGAAAACAGGAGGACTCCGCCTTTCCCACCCAGCTACGCTCCTTCCAATAAAAAGGAAAGGCCGCCGCCGCCCCTTCCTCCGCCTTTCACTTGGGGATGCGGAGTGGCCACTGAACCGCACCCTCGGAGTCCCGCTCCCCTCCGGCCCGGCCCCGGGGCGCGGACCGAGTCTTGCACCCCAGTAGGCGCGGCGCCTTGGCCCACACACTCGGGGCAAAGGTATCTCCTCCTTCCTACTCTCCTCCCTCCCGCCGTGGGGCACTCGATTTTTCACGCACCCGCCCGCCCTTCCTCTTCCTCGCGTCCTAGCCTCCTCGGCCCGCCGCCCCCGGCCTTTCAGCCGCAGAACATTTCAATCCTTCCACCCACACCACAAGGGAGCCTCCAGAAAACTTTGTGTGTGTTATCTGGGGCTTTGTCCACATCCTGGGCAGGGCTCGCTCACCCGGGTGGATGCCCGAGGGTGTCAGGGATCTCACAATGCGCTGGGGAGGCCACCACGGAAATCCCACCCCTCTGACCCGCTTCTACAGCCGTACCACACGCAGCGCTTCAGCTCGCAATTCCCACGCCCTGAGCGCCCCCTCGGCGCGGGGGAGACAGGAGGAAAGCCCCGAACCCGGCGCCCTTCTGGCTGTCACGAGGGAAGAGGTGCGCCGGGAGAGGGAGGCGGCTGAGACACGCCGCGCCTCAAAGAATCATTTTAAAGGGAACAGGAGAGGGGTCCTTTTTCTTTCGCATCCTCAGAAGAGGGGCGCGACGAGGCGATCCACTGTTGCATCACGTAACTAAGCCCCTGGGCTCCTCACCCCGACCCCAGACACGCGCCCAAATTCGTGCACACACCCACAGCCGCCGCCGCGGGGCCGAGCCCCCGCCCGGCTCCCCTGTGGTCCCCACCACACCCGCCCCAGAGCAGAGACCACCCGGCGCCCGAGGAGCAGCAGGCGAGGCCCCAGCACTCACAGACGGTCTCCCCACGGCCACGGCCATCGCAGCTGCGGCACCGGCTCCGGCTGCGCCCGGGTGCTCTCCGCCGACTCCGGCTGCTGCTAGTGCTCCAGCTCCGGCTCGCCTCCCTCGCGTCTCCCTCGCGGCTGCGCTCTGCTCGCCGGAGTCCCGCTCGCAGCCAGCGGCATCTGCTCCCCCCACGCCGCCGCCCCTCCCGCTTTATTAGAGCAACATGGCCACCCGCCTGGAAGGGACCATTCGCTTCCCCAGGAAGGGGTGTGAGCCTGCGCGCCGGGCCGCGGTGGTGGGCGGGAGGATGGTGGGCGGGCTCGGAGTCCGGCTCCGCTTGCCGGGGCCGCAGGGTTCGCCCCTCCGCCCCAAAACGACCCTCTCCGCTGCCATGAGATGCCCCCAGCCTGTGCGCTGGCCGCCACTCCCCGCTCCATCAGGTGCCGGAATCCGAGTAAAAGCCTGGGCGCGAGCTCCTAGCCCCGGGGCCCGCCACGCGCCCCACGAAGCCAGCAGCTCCAGTGGCCGTCGGGAGAAGGAAGGGCGGCCGGGGGAAGACCGGTCGCAGGGACAACACCTGGCGGAAAGTTAGCCCTGGACTAGCACGCCCCAGCTGGAGAAGCCAGCCTGGAAGGGGCTGCGAGCCACCAGGCGGAGCGGTGGGCGACCGAAGTGCGGCTGGGCGGGAGGCCACGTCTCCGCACTGGAAGAATTGCCCCTCCGCAAGTCTTCCCTTCCCACGTGGGGGCCTTCCAGGCCGCACTCGGTCGCCCACCGCTCCCCCTGAGAAGGGAGACTAAAAGACAGGCATCTGGAAGCTGTCACTGTGGCGCGCGGGCGGACAGGGGATTCCACTGGAGAGGAAGAGGCCGTAGTAGTCGCTGCTGCCTGAGGCCGACCCAACCGCCGCCTGCTTGGGAGGAAGAAAAAAAACGCCCCCGCTGAAGAATTAAGGCAGCCATTGGTTGCTCTAGAGCGTAGGGACCGAGGCCTCCCCTGGGTGTCACTGGAGCGGTCACACGTGGGGGATCAGCCGACTTCGATCGCTGGCGACAGACCCAGCGACCCGGAGGCGTGCGCGCTGGGGCTGCGGCTGGAGGGCGCGGCGACAGCACCAGGCGGGTGGCTCGAGTGGGTGCGACTGTAGGCGCGTGGGACTGGGAACTCCTCCGGCGTGGGGAAGATTTTTTTTCCCAGCAGACGTTGGAGTGTTATTGCCTGTCTGAGGGGCCGGCAGAATGGCCAGGTCCCGGTGCGTGTGGGGCAGCGAGGTGTGTCAGATAAGCTGTGGATCCCCTCGGCCCCTCGTGGGCCGGAGAGGGGGCCCACGACAACAAGGCGATTGAGGACAGCGACGGACAGAGCGGGGAACCAGTTGGGTGGAGAGCACAGGCAAAGTGTGGTGAGGAGGGAAGGGCTGTGATCGGCCCTCGGGACGACGCCCCCAGGGACAGCCTGGCCTCCTGAATTAGGGAAAAGACAAACCGTCTCTTTAGACTGGGGCGCCTCAGAGTCTGACCTGAGTCTTCAAACACCCAGATCCCCGGGGGCCTTGAGTCTCCCTGTCCCGCTGACCTTGCCTGGGTGGGCCTCAAGACTCCCGACGCCCCCGCAGCCTTGGGCTGAGGGTCAGTAGTCTCCGGGAGCGAGTCTGGCTGCCGCGGAACTGATACTGGTTTGCGCCGGTAAATAGGCGAGGGGCTCGGTCACCCCGTCTGAATTCCACTGGCAGGACAGCTGTGGAACTACCAAAGAAAAGTCCGGCCGTGTAAGAAAGGTGAGGGGCGGCGCTGACACAGAGCTTGTTTGTTCAGTCTGTGGGCGGACTCAGACGTGCAGAGCACCAACCTCTTCAATTTCTGCCCTCTGGACTCCAAATCTTTTGAAGTTAGGTACCACCATTTTATGCCAAACATACAGTAGGCGCTCAATTAGTGTTGAAATAAGATTACACATAAATGGGCCGGGCGCAGTGGCTCACGCCTGTAATCCCAGCACCTTGGGAGGCTAAGGTGGGCCAACATGGTGAAACCTCGTCTCTACAAAAAAAATCCAAAAGTTAGCCGGGCATGGTGGCTCTTGCCTGTAGTCCCAGCTACTATGGAGGCTGAGGTGGGAGAATCGCTTGAACTCCAGAGGCGGCGGTTGCAGTGAGCCGAGATCGCACCAGTGCACTCCAGTCTGGGTGACAGTGAGACCCCGTCTCAAAAAATATATAATAATAAGATTACACACAGATAGGTGCTGTGCAAAGGGAGGGGGAAGACAAATACTTTTTCTTCTGCAGCTCTGGTACATGGACATTTTGTTCTTTCTCCATAAGGAGGATCAGACAGCAGCAGCACTGCCCATGTACCAGAGGCCTCCTGTAAGGCCTGGGAAAAGAGGGCTCCCCACACCGCCAACCGGATGTAAGGGCAATTGCAAAGGAACTGTGTGTTATCTTCACCAGAACAGACTGTAGAATTTATTAAATTTTTATTTTGTACTTATTTATTTTGTGAATGTATATGCTATAAGCTCATCTGCTTAGATTACAAGAATGTCAATGCCCTACCTTGGTGGGTAGGTTAGTTTATTCTAATCAGCACAACTTAACGTTACATATTCCAACATCTCATTTGGGATGTGAGGATGCTATGGGCGGGGGGATGGATATTCTGGCATTGCTAGAATATAGGAGCCTTAACGAGAGAGTGGCAGAGTGGGGAGAACCTGGCACTTAAGCTGCAGATGATCACTTATTAGCTTTGTTACATTAAATAAGTTAAACTTTCTTCATCTCATTTTTTTTTCTATTGTAAAATAGGGTAGTAACAGTGAGTCCTGGTAGAGGACATGTTCTGTTGGCCAGATCCACTCTCCAACCTGCTGTCTGTCCTTTGGAGCCTTAACTCAATGGACTTTCTTTCCCTCTACCTTCCTCTTGAGTTAAGGCACTGGGAAGCAAGAGCAATGGAACAAAGAGGAAGGAGCACGGTTATTTTTTCCCCCCTGGCTCCCTTGCTATGGCACCATGGCAGGCTGGCTGCATCCCTCAACCAAAGGAAGCAGCTAGTATCCCCCCCTAGGGTGACCCAGAGTAAACTCCTATGGTTTCCCCTCATTTTGCACACACCTTTGCAAATAGTCTTTTTATAAAACTCTACTCACATTATCCAGTAGGAATGTAACATCTCATTCCTTCACAGAATTGTTTTGAGAGTTAACTGAGAAAATACTGTATTATTAGTGTTAGAATTACCTATAATTTCCATCCAAACTGAGAAACTTTTGAGATTGGAAAAAGGGGGTTTGTGCTGATAGTAACGATCCCAGGACAATAGGAAAAACAAGGACTTATGGCGACCCCAGCTATTATTGCCGGTAAACTCTGCTTTAGACATGTTAAGCAATCAAGAAGTGATCGTACTATCATGCTTCTGTCACTAGACTATGAATGTCTCAAGGTAAGAGTGCTTTTTTAATCTATTAGCTTCTGTCACATGGCCTGATATATTCAATAAATTTTGAGTTGGAGATGAGGGTAAAGGCTAGGAAATGAATGATTTTTATTGCCATACTAAGGTAATGAAGAGTCAAGGAGGTCTTTAAGCAAAGAAAATTTGCATTTTAGAAAACAACTACAATGAATATTTGACATTGTTAGAAATCTAGGGTCTATTCCCTTTTTAATTGAACTCCAATTTATTTGGAGAGCTTTTCCAATGAATGTTCCAACTTGGTAAAAAGTAAATGCCTCTTAAAAAAGAGGTTCCGGGCCAGGTGTGGTGGTTCATACCTTGTAATCCCAGCACTTTGGGAGACCAAGGTGGGTGGATCACCTGAGGTCAAGAGTTCGAGACCAGCCTGGCCAACATGGTGAAACCCCATCTCTACTAAAAATACAAAAATTAGTGGGATGTGCTGGTGCATACCTTTAATCCCAACTACTCCGGAGGCTGAGGCAGGAGAATTGCTTGAACCCACAAGGTGGAGGTTGCAGTGAGCGGAGGTCTCACCACTACACTTCAGCCTGGGTGACAGAGCCAGACTCCATCTCAAAAAAAAAAAAAAAAGTTCCTCGCCGGCTGTGGTGGCATGGTGTAGTCCCAGCTACTCAAGAGGCTGAGGCAGGAAGATCACTTAAAGCCAGGAGTTTAAGGCTGTAGTGCGTTACAATCGAGCCTGTGAATAGCCACTGTACTCCAACCTGGGCAACATAGCAAGACCTCATGTCCAAAAAAAATTAATTTAATTTATTTTCAATAAGAAACTCCTGAAGAGACTTTCCATCACACCCTTCCTTTCATCACCACAGTATATACACTCTAAGAAAGTATGTGATCTAAGCCTGGCCAATTAGATACTGTTACTTTTGAATCTCGAATCGAGTGACACAAAGACAATACAAATTGTTACAGTTTATGCAGGCCGTACATTATTTTTTACTTTTTGGCAAATTGTTACAGTTTATGGGGTCTGTAATTTATTTTTTTATTTTCTGGCTTAAGTTATCTAGGATTCGTTTCTGTGGTTTACAAAGAACCCTAAGATTAGATCACTCTTGACTACCATAAAAATGATTAATTATAAAGGGATACAAGAAGAACGGGAGGCTGGGCACAGTGGCTTACACCTGTAATCCCAGCACTTTGGGAGTCCAAGGTGGGCGGATCACTTGAGGTCACAAGTTCGATACCAGCCTGGCCAACATGGTGAAACCTCATCTCTACTAAAATACAAAAGTTAGCCAGGCATGGTGGCAGGCACCTGTAATCCCAGCTATTCAGGAGGCTGAAGCATGAGAATCACTTGAACCGGGGAGACAGAGGTTACAGTGAGCCAAGATTGCACCACTGCACTCCAGCCTGGGCAGTAGAGCAAGACTGAGTCTCAAAACAACAACAACAACAACAACAAACAAACAAAAGCACACACACAAAATGGGTTAAGTTAGCTTTTGCCACTTTAATTTTGGACAGTTTAACTGACAACAGATCCTGAACTCCTTCTGCAACATAATACGTAAAAATGTTCAATAAAATGTTGTAAAAGACATCTACATTTGAGAGGAAAAAGTAAAACTCTCTATTCACAGATAACACAAACATACAGAAAATCCTAAGGAGTCCACTAAAAAATCATTAAAAGTAATAAATGAACTCAGCAAGTTTACAGGATACAGGAGCCACTGAAATTCTGATAAACATGGATAGGCAAAAACTTTGAAACTGTCATTTATAAAC